AATTAGTTACAATTACAGTGTATCTATGTTTCAAGTTCTCTAAAGAATGTCTTCAAAATACAGATATTTTGCAGCCTTGGAAATGTTTATTTAATAATTTGATAAATAATTGGATTTTTCGCCTCAGATAGTTTTAAGTATTATAGAAGCAAATCAGCTAGGCTCAAACAAGATTTCACTTCTCTATTGAATTCATGTACTCTTAGCTCAGCCAAGCACAAAACAGCTAATGCCGTCACATTTGAAAAGCTTTTATGCTGAATTTGACACAAAAGCAATCACAAAGCAGACAAAAAAGGAATTTCTCTTTCAAAAGCTGAAAGGGGGAAAATAAATGAAAACTCTGAGCCTGGGTAAATCTCTCTTGACACTGGAAAAAAAGCTTAAAATCATCAAGAAATAATTTTTCCGAAGAATTCATTGCCATGTTTGGACCAATCTTAATAGGCTGGGGAACAGGTTTTGAAGTCTACCAAGATTCTGCCAAACAAAATAAGTCCCATGATGACCATTGCTGGCACTTTTAGGTGCCAATGTCACACCATCTTACTGCTTATGAAAGTCAAATGGCATCATATCTCATAGGATTCTGTCAGAGCTTATTGGAAGGGAGTTTGATTAGAATGGAAATCCTGTATGATTTTCCCTAACATCTGTCTTTCCATCTCAGAGAAACATTATTGTTTTATTAGGACCATGGAGAAAGTCAAATGAAGCCGGGTAGTTAACAAAATAAACTACTTAATCCCATTTCGTTTTTGTTTTCTAAAGAAAATTAAAGGATTTATAGGAAAGAAATTATACATATATCATGGGTATCTCTTAATGACCTGGTCATTAGTTATTGACACGATGGGCTATCTATAAGCTTATTCTTTTGACAAATCAAGACTCTTCTGTTGCTGTCTGCTTCCAGCAATACCATGCTTTCAAGATGGACTTTCCCCAGATGATTTCTCAGATTTCCTTCCTATTCTGTCATGGGGATTTTACTGTCCCCATTTTTTTCTACACTACTTTTTTTTTTTTTTAACCTAGAAGAGGAGGCTGTTTGTCCAATCAGTAAGGAAGTGGTTAAAGGTGAAACTTAATGAAATGCTGCAAATAATTTAAAATGATAATTATTAAAAGTTATATATAGCAATATATATAAATATTTATGTAATGATACCAAGTTTGAAATTGGAATTCAAAATTTTATCAACATTATAGGACAACTAAAACATGTAGACAACAAATGGAAGAGATTATAGGCAAAGATGAGCAATTATGAATCATCAAAATATCAGAATGGTAGATAAATTGTTCTTTAGTTTGGGTATGATGATTGGCTTAAATTTTCAGAGTATAGTACTACTAGTGCTTGCCTTGCAAACCATTTCATTGTGGCAGTGAGGACATTCATCAGTGATACTGCTGCAAGGGCGGCTGCCTGCTTTAATCACAGCTCTCTACCTCTGCAGCCACACAGCTTGATGCCTGCCTGACCAGGCTCACCAGCTTTCTGGCTGATCTTAGGCACAGAGACTCTGAAGGAATTTATGGAGCAAGGAGATCCTGCTCAAATTATCCAATGCCTCTTTATGTCTATTTTCACCCTTTCTTCATAAAAGAAAATTGTAAATGATAAGCCAACTATTACCACTCAGTAGTGATAACATATTAGACATAAAGGCCAGATCTTCATTTTATATGCTCCCTGACTTTCAAATGTTTTTTTATTGTTTATTCCTTTTTTGAGAGAAACACAGAGCATGAGCAGGGGAAGGGGAGACAGAGAGGGAGACACAGAATCTGAAGCAGGCTCCAGACTCTGAACTGTCAGCACAGAACCCGACGCGGGGCTCAAAATCACAAACCATGAGATCATGACCTGAGCTGAAGTTGGACACTTAACCGACTGAGCCACTGAGGGAGCCTTATGCTCCCTTTCAGAAGAATTAAAAATTGTAGTTTCATTTTTTAAAAAAATATTTTTTATTTATTTCTAGGAAAGAGAGAGAGAGAGCCAGCGTGAGCAGGGGAGGGTCAGAGAGAGAGGGAGTCACAGACTGAAACAGGCTCCAGGCTCTGAGCTGGCAGTCAGCACAGAGCCTGACGCGGGGCTCGAACCCACGAACCGCGAGATCATGACCTAAGCGAAAGTCGGACGCTTAACCGACTAAGTCACCCAGGCGCCCCTTGTAGTTTCATTTAAAAAGGGGATATACTTTGCAATTATCTTTTTAGCTTTTCATGGTAAAATGGAATATGAAAACCTGTTCCTTGTATACTATTTTCATTGTTCTCATTTCCCACCTGTTGGCTTATCAGTAAGATGATCTTATTTGTCACTTCATAATTACAGGTATCTCCCTTTCTGATCTTTACAGTGTTTTCTTGATTTGTCCTAGCCACATAGAAGACAATCGGTAGAAGAGAAAATCTGTGAGGTCATCTACAAGAGTAAGTGCTATGCATTCACATCCTAATTCTGTGATTTTTAAGAGGAGTTTCTGAACTTCTCTGGCCTTCAATTTTCTCACCTGTAAACTGGGAACAATAGTACTTTTCATGGAAGATTCTTGAGATGGTGGAACAAGCCAATTTATGTGAAGTGATTAGCACCATTTTTGACAAATAGCAAGTACTAGATAAATGTTAGTATTGGCACTAGAATTACTTTTAGCTTTAGCATATGTCATTTAAGAAATGGATGGGAAAATTACAGCTTTGGTCATCTTTATATAATGAACTTACATTGAAATTATACATACATATATATATATATAATTAAATTCCTAAATATATAACACAAAAACATCAGTTTCTATAGATAATGGCTGAGCCATTTTTATCATGTCATTTTAGAATAAAAATTCAAAAGCCAATTTTTTATTTTAAAAGCATGTCAAGGAGAGCAATTATAATACCATCTTGTCTGTTTTAGGTATTTAAAATATATTACTTATTTTGATGATGGAATTGTTTTGTTTTATCCTTTCATATTTTCTTTTACAACTCTTTTCATCTCTTATTTAAAACCCCTTGCTTTTCTAAGAGCTATAAAACCCTCATCACTCTTGCCATCACTTCAAGATTCTTGTAGATTTTAAGATTTCTCATGTGCCACCCTGCAGAGTCTTCTTGCTCTTATCAAATTTATCACTATATGCCTCTCATCTCTCCTTCCCTTACTCTAACTCAAAGGTCCAGTCCAAACTCTTTTCCCTTGTTAATTCCTCTCCACCAGTTAACGACTCTGTTCCAAGATCTGCTAGATTCGTGGAATCCTCAAATTTTGGAGAGGAAAAACAAATGGCATAGCATACTGAATACATTATGGATAAGACGAGAGACTTCAAGAGTAGCTACATGAATTCTGTATTTCCCATAGTCAAACCAAGAATTGGGAACACCGTCATTAGAAATTCCTCCACCTTCGGCACTCATGGGGATGAGCACTGGGTGTTATGTGGAAACTAATTTGACAATAAACTCTTTGTAAAAAAATAAATAAATAAATATATTAAAAAAAAAAAAAAGAAATTCCTCCACCTTCTGTGTTCATCCCAAGGAGAAAATCTTAGTGGCAACATGTACCTTGTGAAAGAAATAATTGCTTCCCACAGAGCTAATGATAAGCCTGTAAAATTCTATGTGACTTTCTAATATTCTTGTCATATAAACAAAAATCTTGTCTTTATAGCAGCTCAGGTCCTTTGGAAAAGTAGCTATGGCAGAAATTGTCTAAAAGCTCACTAGCTCACTTTTCCCATTGACTCTTCCTGATGTTAAATTGGAAACTAGTTCTGGTCAATGGGATGTGGGTAGAAGCGAGGTACATCGCTTCCAGGCCAGGCCTGTCCATAGAACCCCATGGATAAATTGGTCACATTTTCTCTTACTCTCCTGCAGTGACTATGGGCAACCATGAGTTTAAGATGATAGTTTCACAAAATTGGAGAAGCCTGGATTCCTCAACTTACTATTTATGAGAGAGCTCCCAGGAAGAACTCTTCAACCTGCATGGTACAATGACACATCCAAGGAATTAATCATTATTATATTAAATTATTGAGAAATCAGGGTTTATTTTTTAAATAAACCTAACATAAACACATATGCCATGTAGCTCGGCACAGCCTAAACACTGACTAATTTAGAAATGGAAGCCACTTCATCCAAGGAAACCACAATACAAGGCTTTTTTTTTTTGCAGATGACATAGCTAATTTGTGATTCAGACAATTGTTTAGCAGAAGGCCTTTTTCCACCAGAAAAAAAGTCTATAGAGGGTTTTAATAAAAAATTCAATCTAATCAAGTTCCCACTGTGTTACTTTTCTGCTTACCATTTAGGTCTTTCCCAATTGACCCATAAATATGAGGTTGCAAAGAATTAAGTGCATCTAAAGCACTATGCATGATGCTTGATGCAACACAGTCATTAAACAAATATTATTTCCTTTCCCTTTTCTCTTTCTTGTATCATGGAGAGTTCTAGACTATGAAATGGACAGATACATGGCAGAATTTTGGGGAGAAATAAGAGGAAGAAGAGAAAGAAGTAGAAAAATTGGTCTAGAGGTCAAAGACCTGGAAGAGAAAGTGAGAGTACACCTTATCCGTGCCTTACCTTACACATCTTCTCCCTTTTCCATTCAGTGACCTACTTAGGAAGAAGTAGACCTATTCCTTTTTCTAGTGAGGGATTAATCCCAACTGACTGACTTCATGCTACCACCTAAGTATGTATGTCAACAACGAAGTGATTTCAAAAAATGGTGCACTGTGAAAACCAGCCTATGAAACATAGGTTAAATAAAATTAAAATTAAAGATTGATATTAGCCATCAATGTTCGTCTAATCTCTACTTTGACTAAAAAGTCTACTGTTTGTTTCTGCTTAAACATCATTTTTAACACATTTACATTAAAAATCATTAAATTTTAATCCAAAGGATAGTTTTATCCGGTACAACCAGTATTTTATTTTAAGGACATATCTGTGATACCAACCTTGGTTTCTGTGATTTTCTTTTGGATCGCATCCATCGTGTAGGGCGTCTCCTTCCACGACTCCAGCTTGGCTCTGGCCTGCCCCAGCACCCGCTCGGCTTCTTCTTTAGCTTCCAGCCATTGTGTGGAATCCTTTAACATTTCATTCAACTGTTGCCTCCGGCTCTGAAGGTGTTCCTGGACTTCATCCCACTGATTCTGAATTCTTTCAACTGGAATAAAAAGCAAAAAAAAATTGAATATATAGGAGTAAATACTAGTCTGTAGAAGACATCTGAATTTTAACACTCAAAGATTATCCCACTCTTTATATTACTCATTTAAAGCACTGTTCATTGTGTTACAACTAGGATAATGGAAAATAGAATTCCTTACTTTTTCCAATGGCAAACATGAGGTTAAGTTATCTTCCTGAAGGCGACCTAGAAGATCAGTAGTGTACATAGATATTCAACTCTGTCTATTCTCAATCCGCAGAGCCAAATATGAAGAATCATTTAGAAAGGTACTATAGCAGAATGCCTGAATCGCCTTGCCCTTACCACTTCAGTGCCCAACAACCTGACTTCTGACACCATCATTGGAAATTCATTCCCTAAAGGCTTTGTGGTGCCACAAAGGATTTGTTTTGCCATCTACCTGGCTGGCTAGATATACCGGGGAATTGATGGTTCCCGTCACCCCACTTCCCAAGAGCAGCCTGTAACCAAGAACTAATGGTATGCATTGGGGTATGAATATTTTAGCCCCATTCATACCAGGGTACATAACTGGGGAGCACGTGTTTTACAAGGGGTTCCAGAGTTTTCTAATGGGATAAAGCTCCAGTGCCCCACAGAAGGAACCTGCTGGATAATGCACCATCCTTTATTGACTGCCCTATCTGCCTTACTTGCTCACTCCCCACTGCTGTTTCCCTCAACTCCCAAATCAACCACATGCTCTCAAAACCTTTTCCTAGGGTCTTCTTCTGCGGCAACCCAAGAGCAGATGGGCATCCTGGAAATGTCCTGTAACAATATCTAAGAATTCATGCTGGTTATATTTTCTAAGTAAGGCAGGCTTATCTTGAGGCAAATTTTTTGGTATCATTGTGTGTCAAAGATGGAGATGCCCTATAAATTCTGCTCTGAAGTACTTTATTTTAATATATGAAAAATAAACATACTACATTGTCTTTTTCTTCTAAGGACCACATTATCTTTTCTTTAAGCTGATTTCATAAAATAGAAATAATGTCCCAGAAAATAAGTAATAAAACCACTATCAGCTTTATCCCTTGAGCAAAACCTGGCAGATATTGTAGATGTTTCCTCAAGTCTCCATGAATACCATATAGACGTGGCTACTAATTTCTCTCATATAGAATTCCTTCCCACTTGTCACATATTCCCACTGCAAAGCTCTATCCTCTATCATTTTTTGCCTACATGTCTGCAACAGAGTCTACAGCCCTACTGCCTCAAGCCTCTGTTTTGTAACACAGCTTCCACACTATAGAGAGGGTAATAACTAATATAAATCTGATCACCCCAATCCCTCATTTAAACCCTTCAGCGTCTCCCAACTGTCCTCTGAAATATCTTAGCTTGACATACATACTTCTCTGTGGTCTGGCCTGGATAATCTGAGAGGCCTATTTAGAAAGAACAATTACAACATAATCAGGGGGTAGGAAAATCACCAAAGATGATACAGGAGATTGGACCTTGCGGCAGTGGCGCTGTTTACTGTATCTGGGACCAAGAAATCAGGGGAGGGAGAAGTGTCCAGAAGCTAAGAATCATGAGGAGAAACCCCCTTGAGAAGCACAGTGATCTTTTGTCACGGGACACTGTCAGCCCAAGACAACTTCTCCAGAAGGAACTAGGAGAAAAAATATCCTCATCTCACTTTGCGCTCTCTCTTCACTTTCCTAACAGGTGTCCCGAGTGGGTAAACCTACTGGAAGCCAGAGAGCATGGGAGCCCAATGATGACACAGAGCAGCCCCTAAGAATAGAGACCAAAGTAGAGAAGGGCAAGGGGGGCCATGGATAGACAGAGAAAATATACACGGCACAGTACTGTAAAACTGGGCTTCATGATGTTAAGTTCAGGCCTTCTTTATTAACCCTGTTGTTGGCTCCATTAAGTTAGGAGCTAAAGAAGTGCTTCAGATTTTCTGTAAATAAGCATCAGAACTAGACAGAACCTCCAAGACTAGTGATTGTGACATGAAATCAAGAATCTGGTACCTAGAATAGGTAAAGCCAAGTAAGTGGCACTCATTCTAAATGACTGTTTTTATTGGTTTTGTTTCTGTTTGGGTGTTTCCTAGGCACTGCAAATCCAGTCAACATATTATATTCTATCTTTAGTTACTATGTAAACCTCTGTTGTTGTTTTTTTTTTTATGTTTTATTTATTTCTAGGAGAGAGAGAGAGAGAGAGAGAGAGAGACAGCGTGAGCAGGGGAGGGTCAGAGAGAGAGGGAGTCACAGACTGAAACAGGCTCCAGGCTCCGAGCTGGCAGTCAGCACAGAGCCCAACGCGGGGCTCGAACCCACGAACCGCGAGATCATGACCTAAGCAAAAGTTGGATGCTTAACCGACTAAGCCACCCAGGCACCCCTGTAAACCTCTGTTTTAAATGTCAGTCTCTCTCTCTCTAATCTTTGAGCACCGTTCTTTTTTATTTGTTTGTTTCATTGCTGTTGTTGCCCCCATAGGGTAGTGCAGTGCCTATTACAGTTGAGACTTACAGTTATTATTGAATTATTTTGTAATAGAATTTAAGTAATCTCTATACCCAATCTGGGGCTCAAACTCACAACCTCGATATCAAAAGTTGCCTGGTCTCCTGACTGAGTCATCCAGGTGCCCTGACATTTATAATTATTAATTAGTCTTCTATTTAATCTTTTGTTCAAAAACTTAATAGGATAAATGTTATTATAAGAAAGCTATTGAAAATAGAAATAAATATGTCTTAACATGTTCTGAAATAGTTCTCCATCAATCAGAGAAATAACTGATATTCCCATTATAAACCATTTATTCAACTTATCATAGCAGGCTACTTTATTATGCATGGTTGGCACCTTTTTTTCTTAGCCTATTTTTACATACTATATGTATTTGAAAATAATAAAATTGGCTTTCCTTAAAAAGTCTGATTCCAATTTGCTTTTGCATTAATCAGCCTTGATTAGTGACATTTATTATGCTAGCAAAATTTTAAATGCCTGGTATTTTTGATATAAACATGGTAAGCCATTTGCCTTCATGCCAGTGAATATTTCATACATCTTATAGTTCATTTCAGTAGGGCAGACATAATCTTTATATTTAAATAGGCCATCATATGAGGAAGAAGTAAGATAGTTCTTCCTATTATGTGGGTATGTATGTCTTCATTGAGGCAAAAGGAGGAAACTTTCATAACCCAGATCATTATTTCAGACGTATACCATCTGAATGCTTGTTCATTCACAGCAATCAAAGTTTTCATCCCACAGGGTCATGGGTGTGTAATGTAACAAATGAAAATGGTTCATCAGTGTATGCATCCCACTAAGGGTGTGCTTTCTCATCCTTGACCTTCAACTATACGTGATCATCAGATAATACTTAACTAAATAAATTTACAGGCTACAGACTCACTCAACAATCCATCTATCCCTCCAGGCAGCCCAACCCAACAATCCATTTATCTAGTCTGTGAGTCACCATTTTATTTACCATCTGCTACATACCAGGCATTATGCTAAGAAGTGGGGAAACAAAGGAGTCGAGACAGATTCCCCAACTTCTGGTTGGTGCCTCTTAGATAAAGGTGTCATCCACTATCTACCCAAAGAATAAAGGATGAACAGTTCTAGGGAAAAGATAATGAGTTCATTCTTGGGCCTATTCATTGGGAGGTTGTGAGGATAATCTATAGAGGATTATCATTTTAGTCACTTGGACTGAAGGCACAATGGCATAGCTGGTATTTTGGGAGAGAAATCCAGGATTATAAGGGACTACAAAGAAGTAGTGAAGACATCAGTGTGAATGCATTCTCAATGATATGGTATGTAGACTGAACAGAGAGAGGATTAAAGAAGAAGTCCTGGAAAATGCAAGACAGAACATAAAGACAGAACGAAGCCAAGGTAGCCAGTAAGATGAATGAATGGCTAGAGAGGTAGGAGGAATGCTTGGAAAGTGTACTTTCATAAAGACATGGACAAGAAAGAATTTCAAAAACACAGAAGTGGTTAACACTTTCAAATGCCATAAATGTCACAACAGGCAATAAAAGTCATAATAATTAACATTTATTTGAATACCTACACTGATTAAAGGACTATTTTAAGTTCTGTCTGAGCGTTAGTTCATTTAATCAACATGATGATCTTATGAAGCTTCTGTTTCTGCTGCTGCTTCTGTCGCTACTTCTCCTCCTTTAACAGAGGAAGAAACATGGGGTGCCTGGGTGGCTTAGTCGGTTAAGCGTCCGACTTTTGCTTAGGTCATGATCTCGCGGTTCGTGGGTTCGAGCCCCACGTCGGGCTCTGTGCTGCCAGCTCAGAGCCTGGAGCCTGTTTCAGAGTCTGTGACTCCCTCTCTCTCTGACCCTCCCCTGCTCACGCTGTCTCTCTCTCTCTCCTAGAAATATATAAAAATATTAAAAAAAAAAAACAGAGGAAGAAACAGACTGCATTAAAGAATTGCATAAGGTCATATCAATAGGGAGTACAAAAGCCAACACGTGGAACTAGTCAGACTCCCCAAAGCCCATGCCAAAAATATCCATTGGCTTTGACCACACAGAATTCCCTGAAGACCACACAGAAAATAATTTTAGCAGAGTGGTGGAAATCTTAGTGTAAGGGAGGGACAAACCAGCCAATGATGAAAGTTGGAAGATAATGACCCTTTGTGGGTACAACTGGGAGGTGTGTTCTTCATGGTCTCCCAGAGGTCACTCATCAGGGTGGAATTCTAGTTGCCCACAAGAATAATCTGCTCCATACCTGGCTCAATTATTGGCTTCTTTCCCTATTTCGCTGCTCACTCTCCTACTCATACTTCAGGGGATCACCTTACAAGTAAAAAACACTTTCACTCAAAGCATTGTCCAAAGGTCATCCGTCTGGGGAAAGTGAGTCTGAGAATTTCATTCATTACAAAAAAACAAACAACAAACAAAAAAACCCACAACAACACAAAACCCCAAACAAACC